AGCTTAGGTAGTGGTTTATGGCAATTATAGCTAATATTGAGTGCTAACTAGATTTTCCATGCCCAGTTTTTTGGTATGTGTTTTCTTTTTTCTGTGTGCATGAGTCCTCAAGTACAGTAATGTTTTAGAGAATTATTTGCTTTATGTTTTTCCTGTGCATTAACAAGTCTTATCAATGGCCGGCCCCGTGGCTTAGCGGTTAAGCGCTCGCACTCCGCTACTGGCGGCCTGGGTTGGGATCCCGGGCGCGCACAGACGCACCGCTTCTCTGACCATGCTGAGACCGCGTTCCACATACAGCAGCTAGAAGGACGTGCAACTATGACATACAACTATCTACTGGGGGGGGTTTGAAAAAAAACGAGGAGGGTTGGCAATAGATGTTAGCTCAGAGCCTGTCTTCCTCAGCAAGAAGAGGAGGATTGGCATGGATGTTAGCTCAGGGCTGATCTTCCTCACAAAAAAATAAATAAATAAAACTGTTTTCAAGAAGTCTTATCAAAATTTATTCTTTTTTATATTTGCTTTTTGTCTGTAGGTTATAATAATAGTGCAGATAGTGGATGTTTGTGCCAAGCACTAGGCTAAGTAATTGAAAGTATTTTATTTAATCATCACAGCGGCCTTGTTAGGTAGGCTCTGTTATTTGCACATGTGAGGAAATTGAGGGAATAGGATAGTAAAATAATTTAAATCAGAGTGGAGCTAGGATGTGACCTTCTCCCCTCATCTGTGAGTGCCTGTAGGGGTAATATTGAATCACAGCATAGCATTTCAAGTCAATTAAGGGATAAGGCTGTCAATTGCAGTATTTTTTTTAACAGTAGCGTTGTTTTGGTATAGAAAGATTTAGGAGTTAGGAATGGAATTCTGGTAATACTGAATCTCAGCGTAGCATTTCAAGTCAATAAAGGGAGAAGGCTGTCAATTTCAATCTTTTTTTTTTTTTTTAACAGTACTGTTGTTTTGGTATAGAAAGATAAAGATTTAGGAGTTAGGAATGGAATTCTTCTGAAGAGGTCGCTTTTCCCCCTTCTCTCCTTTTTATTTATTTTCATTTCATTTTATTTATTTATTTTATTTATTTATCTCTCCTCCTTATTTATTATTTAGGTAACTGCTCTGCAGAGCAGCCTGTGGGGATATTGAGAGCAAGGAGAGAGTGTGCAAACAAAATAAACTCTTGCCTTTGAGATCTATGTGATTAATGTCACATTCACAGATGTACTTTCAGAGGGTCAGAGAAGTCTTTTTGAGAGAGATGGGATTTGAGCCAGCAGACTTTTAAGTCTAAATCTAATTTTTCTTTAAATCTTTAAAGGATTGAATGATTCTAAAATAACTTTGGAATGTTTACTGCTTAAGTACCTTCTGTGGTGTAATGTTAATTATGAACCCCTTTTTATGTGTGCTGGGTGAGCCTGGGTTTTCCTAAGTTTTGTATAAGCTGTGTAACATCTGTGTCCTTGCCTTGGTCCCCAGAGAGAGGCTCTTTCCTGCCACTGCTGAGACTTAACTGTAGTGCCCTTGGGTAGTAGACTACAACTACTCTTCTTACATGTTGTATTAATCATCTGGCACTGATAATATGCCTCTTTGCATTGCTAGTATCAACTGTGTCTTGATATCAATTCAAAAGAAGAGGAGATTGAATTGATGGGAAAGATCTGAGTGAATTTTGTTTATGGGAGAAAATGCTTTTGTTTTATAAAACTGACTCAGTGTATTCTGAACAAATAACTTACATTGGTTCGTCTGTCAATTGGGCTATGACACAACTGTTTATGCTGTATTAGGAATTAACGATTAAATTTTAAATCAGAAATAGGAAAAGTGGACATAGAACAATTTGTCACACAGAATGCTATATGCCAGGAAGTCCATAAGGATAAAACTCTGTAAGCCCCAGAAATCTAGTTATTTCATGGGATGTTCATTAAAATACAATCTTAGAACAAGAAACGTTTGGCAATTATATAGAGCAATAAACGCATTTATTCTGTTTGTATTGGTATTTGTATGGATGTTTTGTCATTTACTTAAATATTTTGATATTAATGATTTGAATTGTCATACAATAAAGAATCTTAGTGTAGTCCTGTGGGGCCTACCATGTTGGTATTGATCTAAAGATAAAAACATTTGACCAAATTGGAAATTGCCCTCTTTTTTTTTGAGGGGGGAAGAGATTGCTTTAGTTCTGTGATTCGCAAACATTTTGGTCTCAAGGCACCTTTTCACTCTTAGAAAATATTGAGAACCATGAAGAGCTTTTATGGGTTATCATCAGTAGCTGATGTATTAGAAACTTGGAGAAATTTTAAAAATAATTATTTACTGATTCACTTTAAAATAACAAACTTGTTACATACTATGAAAAGAACTTTTACCAGAACAAAAAAAATTTAGTGAATGGTATTGTTTTACATTTTTGCAAATCTTTCTGATGTCTGGCTTAATAGAAAACAGCTGAATTTTCATATCTGCTTCTGCATTCATTCTATTGTAGTACGTTGTTTTGGTTGAAGTGTATAAAGAAGATCTGGCCTCACACAGATATGTGGTTGGAAAAGAGAAGAGTATTTTAATAGCCTTTACAGATGTGTGGATATTCTTTGACAGTACAAGTAGTAGTTTCATAAAGATTTGTTCCAATGTGGAATCTAAAACTGTCAGTGAACTTTTCGTACTCTATTACATTAAAATCCATTGGTCTGTCTTGTACTTGGTTTTACCCATGCGTGAGTTTCTAACATGCATTGGTCATTTGGTCATTCACTGAGTTAGGCAGATCTTCCAAATGTTGACACATTTCATTTATATGGTATCAAAAATTCACATTCATTTAATATCAGCAGTAATCTAATCAGAAATGGCTTTTTAAGTGTTGGGAAAATGTTTAAGCTCATGGTGGTGGATACAAGTTTTCAAAATAGTTCTTTTTTCTTGAAAACTCAGATTTTGTCATTGGCAACAAACATCGTCAGTGGTTTTCCTTGAAGTGACAGGTTTACTTTGGTCATTTTCAAGAAAATGTGTGCTAACTACTCAAGTCTGAATAACCGTAGTTTGTCAGTCATTCTGCCAAGTAAAAATAATGTTCCATGAGAAAAGCTTCTAGTTCACCTTGCAACTCAGTTGTGAGTGCTTTTTCTCAGACTTCTTAAAGCAGAAGTGCTTTGTGCGTACTTTTCCCTTTCATCACACAGAATATTTTAAAAACATATACTCAAGAGTGGAGATTTAATAAAATTCGTAATTGTTATAATTTCATCAAGGACATTAAGTGGAACTAATTTTTTTTTTTTTTTTAACATTTAAGAATACAACGACCAGTGACCATTAGTACAGTTTGGTGCCTCTGCCTTGATTTGTGCTAAGGTACCAGCAGTTTTGCTCAGCCTTGTTTTTGCATCCTCATTGCAAATGTCAGCACAGTGAAAAAAGGCAAATAACATTTTAGTATTACTATGAAAATAGCTGTGATCTTGTGGACCGGTGAAATGGTCTTTGAACTCCCAAGAAGTCCATAGACCACACTTTAAGAACAGCTGGCTTAGTTCATTACATGGATTTCCTTTTGCTCCCAGACCAAATAAAGCAAAGGCGATGAAGAAAAGGCAAATGACTGAGGTTTTTAGCTTGGGTTACTAAATGAAAGCAATGCCATTACCTGAGGTAATAAAACAGGATGAGGAGTAAGTGTGTTGGAAGAAGAAAGTGAATTTTGAGTTTTGGGGAGCTTGAGGACCATAGAGGTGGAAATGTTGATGAGTGCAGCTCAGCAAGTTCTTCTCAGCGTTAGGAGGCCTCACCATACTAGTGGTTGTTGCCAAGGACGTGAGTTGAGAGAGAAGAGGGAAGGAGAAGGACCCTTGGTGTCAAGGACATCAGGAAAGGAAAATTTCAAGAATGGGGTGGTCAGCGCTACCTAATGCTTCAGAGAAATCAAATAGAATGGGAACTGAGACTTGACCATTGAATTTGATAATAAGATTACCGGTGACCTTTGCCAGAGCAGTGGGCATAGAAGCCAGATTATAGAAGAGTTAGGAGTGCAGAGGTTATTTATACTACCCTTTCAAGAAGTTTTGTTTGGGGTAAAGGGAAAAAGAGACACATTGGGCAATTAATTTGAGAGGTGGATTGTGCTGAGGACAGTGAAAGAAAACTGATGAAGCAAACTGATATTACCGGTGTGATCCAGTTAAGCTTGTAGTATGATCTGTCTTGCAGAGAAGTTTGAAGCTAATGAACACTGGATTCTCTGGCCAGAAAAATGCACAGACCTGTGACATTTGGTATACAAACTTTTTGGTAGGGATGAGAGAATTCCTTACTAATTCTTTCCTGTTTAATTGCTAAGTGTTTAGTTTGATACATTTGCTTTAAATCCACTAATTTCAAGATGTTTTAAAGAGATTTTTCTTTTAAATGCAGACGATTTGACGTTAATAATCTGCAGTTCTCTCAGAATGGAACTTCTGGGGGCTGGCCCCGTGACGTAGTGGTTGAGTACTCGCGCTCCACTGCTGGCGGCCTGGGTTCGGATCCTGGCGCGCACCAACGCACTGCTTGTCAGGCCACGCTGTGGCAGCGTCCTGTATGGAGTGGAGGAACATGGGCACGGATGTTAGCCCAGGGCCAGTCTTCCTCAGCAAAAAAGAGGAGGATTGGCATGGCTGTTGGCTCAGGGCTGGTCTTCTTCACAAAAAAAAAAAAAGAAAAGAAAAAAGAATGGAACTTCTGTTTTGGCTACTTTCAATCTATGGTAACAAATGAGAAAAAAGAAGGGTGGAATTCTTTCTCTTGTGCAGGGATTGTCTCTCCCTTGCCCATTTCCCCTCCATGAAGGATATTCTAGTCTCTAGAATGGTTAGAGTGTTTTTTTTCTGGAGGCAGAGTGTGGGTAACAGCCTCAAGTAGTGTTTGTATTAAAAACGTGTGTTGTTTTTTAATATGTTTGTATTTCTAACTTCCTTTTCTTCTTTCTCTTCTAGTCTATTCTCTGGGGAGGCAGTAAGGGGCCGTGGACCTGGCCTCGGCACCGAGAGAGGCTGGACTTCCTGTCTCTCTGTGCTGAATGGCTGCGATGGCGCCCGCTCTCACTGACGCAGCAGCTGAAGCACACCATATCCGGTTCAAACTGGCTCCCCCATCCTCCACTTTGTCCCCTGGCAGTGCCGAAAATAACGGCAACGCCAACATCCTTATTGCTGCCAACGGAACCAAAAGAAAAGCCATTGCTGCAGAGGATCCTAGTTTAGACTTCCGAAATAATCCTACCAAGGAAGACTTGGGAAAGCTGCAACCTCTGGTGGCATCTTATCTCTGCTCCGATGTAACATCTGTTCCCTCAAAGGAGTCATTGAAATTGCAAGGTGTCTTCAGCAAGCAGACAGTCCTTAAATCTCACCCTCTCTTATCTCAGTCCTATGAACTCCGAACTGAGCTGTTGGGGAGACAGCCAGTTTTGGAGTTTTCCTTAGAAAATCTTAGAACCATGAATACGAGTGGTCAGACAGCTCTGCCACAAGCACCTGTAAATGGGTTGGCTAAGAAATTGACTAAAAGTTCAACACATTCTGATCATGACAATTCCAGTCCTCTCAGTGGGGGAAAACGAGCTCTCACTTCATCTTCTCTTCAGGGGGATGAAGTGGTGGCATCTGAATCTGGGGACTTGAAGAGGGGTATGACCAATTGCACTCTTCCACATAGAAGCCTTGATGTAGAACACACAACTATATTTAGCAATAATAGCACTGCAAACAAATCTTCTGTAAATTCCATGGAACAGCCAGCACTTCAAGGAAGCAGTAGGTTATCACCTGGCACAGACTCCAGTTCTAACTTGGGGGCTGTCAAGTTAGAGGGTAAAAAGTCTCCCCCGTCTTCCATTCGTTTCAGTGCTTTAGATTCTGACACAAGGATAACAGCTTTACTGCGGCGGCAGGCTGATATTGAGAGCCGTGCCCGCAGGTTACAGAAGCGCTTACAGGTTGTGCAAGCCAAGCAGGTGGAGAGACATATACAGCATCAGCTGGGTGGATTTTTAGAGAAAACTTTGAGCAAACTGCCAAACTTGGAATCCTTGAGGCCCCGGAGCCAGTTAATGCTAACTCGAAAGGCTGAAGCTGCATTAAGAAAAGCTGCCAGTGAGACCATCACTTCAGAGGGACTTAGCAACTTCCTGAAAAGTGATTCAATTTCAGAAGAATTGGAGAGATTTACAGCTAGTGGTATAGCCAACTTGAGGTGCAGTGAACAAGCATTTGATTCAGATGTCACTGACAGTAGTTCAGGAGGAGAGTCTGATATTGAAGAGGAAGAACTGACCAGGGCTGATCCTGAGCAGCACCACGTACCCCTGTGAGTAGAACCATGCATAATGCCATTCTTGAGAAATGTTGCAACAGAGGGAAAAGACTTGGTGAATTCCTATCATGGGGAGAATGGGATTTTTTGTATATAGGTGCCTAAATTCCGTTTGTCTTTTTCCTGATTGTACATAGGTGGGTACATATACCTGCTAGTGAAGAAATGAAAGGTATTTCTGGTATAGTGTTGCTGTAGGCTAAAAGCTGCTAATTTCCTTTTGAAATCTTATTAAGAAAAAACTGGAAGACATCCTATTTGTAAAACTGTACCCATACTTCTTTCAGAGTGAATAGATTTTTTTTGAAACTGTATGTAGGCTATGTTTGTAAGTTTCTTTGGCTTGACTTAGGATTTTGTTAGTAGTAAATGGGGACAGAAGTTTAGTTGACCTAAGTTAACATCGCTGGAATTTATAGTTGCTTTTAATTGAGCTTTCAGCAGAGAATGTACCCAGTCTTCAATTTTAACGGTTGAGATTTCCTTACATTTTAAGGACTAATAATCAGAAAATGCTTCAGAGTATTTTATGGGTTGCCTCCAAGCACAATTCCTCTTTCACAAGTTAATTCTCTTCCTAAAACAGCCCATCTTTATCAGATTTCGATTTTATTTTCTCTCTCATAAGTTAAATGTGTTGACATATTTGGGATAAATTCTTACTAGTTTTTTCCAAATCTGTTGGTTTGAGGAAAATTCTATGAAAGCTTTGCGTGGCACTCCACATTGCCATGGTGGAACCAGAGGTGCTTTACTCATGTTCTTCCTTTCTAATCCTGTGTTCGGCTCCTTACAGATAAACAAGGCAGTAGTACTGTATATCTCCTTAAAGATAAATCAGTCCACATTTATCTACTTATAAATGTTAGGCTTAGGCGAGAGAGAATTATGAGAAGTTGGAAAAGAGGGGCAGGAGAGTTGACTAATAGATCCTCTTTCATTTCCTCTTTGGGTAGGGATGTTGTAAAGGTTGGATTACTAGAGAAGGCTGAAATAGGTGGATATGTTTGAATAATTGGTTTTTCCTTGTCTGTAGTAAAAAGGTGACTAAGATTTTCACTGGAGACTTCTTTGAGACGGCCATGCTTTTAAGCTTAAGTAAATTTCCCTTTTTTTCGGTTTTGTTATATTATCCATACGGATAACACTGTGTAGCTGAAACATAAATTTTGGTTTATGTTTCTATTTTGAGAGCAAAAGTCTAGATAATTTTGCTGAATTTCTTCCTTGTAGACCTAGCTCCATTACCATTTGTTAGTTTACTGTGCTCAAGAGTCCACTTCTAGGGGGCTGGCCTCGTGGCTTAGCGGTTAGGTGCGCGCGCTCCGCTACTGGCGGCCCGGGTTTGGATCCCGGGCGAGCACCGACGCACCACTTCTCTGGCCATGCTGAGGCCGCATCCCACATACAGCAACTAGAAAGATGTACAACTATGACATACAACTATCTACTGGGGCTTTGGGGGGAAAGAAAAGGAGGAGGATTGACAATAGATGTTAGCTCAGAGCCGGTCTTCCTCAGCAAAAAGAGGAGGATTAGCACGGATGTTAGCTCAGGGCTGATCTTCCTCACACACACACAAAAAGAGTCCACTTCTATATTCATATCTAAAGCAGATACATTTCAGAGGCTTGCTACTGCTGTAACATAGTTGTCTTTCCTTAAATGGATTAGTAGCTTAAATCAGCTTGCCAGTATTTGTGGCATTATCCCCACTGACTTTGCTGCATAAACCACTGCTTTAAAAAAATCTTGGTTAATGTTGAATATTTGGTATTTAGGAGTAATTGCACATAACAAATACTGTAGTTGAAGCATTTTATTTCATGTACTTATTTTGTGTATTTGAGAAAAAGAACATCTATCTATAAGCTTATTGTTTTCAGGATACATTGTATTGAAAACATTTCTAAGTTTTGTAATGTTGTGGGTAACTGTTGCAATTCAGTGAAATCAGAATACCTAAGAGAACTTTTCTTATTCTGTGGGATTATTAGTGATTTGAAAAGACCTCTTAGTCCATTCACTCCCTACTTAGTTGTGGGCGTTCTTCTCACATAATGGTTTACTAATGAGAAGGGTGTGAAGTATAAGGACAGCTGAGGGATCATTTTAGGAAATTTTTTGGAATTAGTTGAATCCTTTTGCAGTTAAGTCAACTAAATAATGCTTTAAAAAGTTGAATTTCTACGCATCAGATCGTATTAAAGTAAGGAAAATTTTGGCACTAAAAGTACTGTCAAGTAAATATACTTTTTGCACATTGTGATATAATTGGATTTAAATTAAAACCACCAGTAAAGCATACTTTAAAGTTCTTGATGAGCAAGGTCGCCAGATTGACTCCTAAGACTTGTATTTTAGCCAGGTGTCTGTTGACTTTCTGCGTATTTTAAAGGTTTTCAGTAATGGGCCAGAAAGTGATAGTGGAGGCATTGCTTTGATTAAAAAAGAAAAAAGTTGTTCTTTGGACACTGAGAAGCCTTTTCTTTGTGATTTATTAGTCCCTCCAAAATCACATAATCACATTCATGATTCTTCAGTCCTAGAATAAGAAGTTAGTTAACTCTTCAGGAGCTTGACCCAGCTGATGAATTTCAACTTTTTTCTCCATTCCAGTAGCCTTTAATATTAATATTTTAATTTTTAAGTTTAATACTTTACTCCTTTGCTGAAGTACTTCTGCTGGAGATCAAGTTGCTAGATTTAGTCTAGGCAGCCATGATGAAAATATTAGGTAGAGGAGACTGTTGAAATGAATAGTTTTTAAATGATGTTACTTAAATTACAAGTGAATGGTTCTGTGAAAATTACAAGTCTTCACCAAGAATTCATTTGTGTTTTTTCTTCTTTCCTAGTAGTAGCCAAATGATTGATTTTTATGTTGTTGAATTTTTGGCAAATTTTATGTTTATCGTTGTATTAGACTTTACAGTTAGTAAATTCTATATCGCTAGATGAGACATGTTAGAAAAGTTTTCCTTTTTTCTTGTTTAATTTTTGGTTTAATTGATTTTATGTGTACTTTATTATTTATTTCCCTTTTTCTCGCCAAAGCCCCAGTAGATAGTTGTATGTCATAGTTGCACATCCTTCTAGTTGCTGTATGTGGGAAGCTGCCTCAGCATGGCCGGACAAGCAGTGCATCGGTGCACGCCCGGGATCTGAACCTGGGCCGCCAGTAGCGGAGCGCGAGCACTTAACCGCTAAGCCACGGGGCCGGCCCCTATGTGTGCTTTATGTTTTATTTATTTATTTATTTTTTCCCCAGAGCGCCAGTAATAGTTGTATGTCATAGTTGCACATCCTTCTAGTTGCTGTATGTGGGATGTGGCCTCAGCATGGCCGGAGAAGCGTTGTGTCGGTGCGCGCCCGGGATCTGAACCCAGGCTGCCAGCAGTGGAGCACGCGCACTTAACCGCTAAGTCACGGGGCCGGCCCTATGTGTGCTTTAAAACTGTTACGCTTTCTTATTTTAAGCTCTTTTTGGAAAATCTTCCTAAAATGTTTTATGTATCTTCCTGTCTTGGTACAGGTAGCTACTTCTTTGGAAATTCTGCGTTATATTAGGTTTGACGTATATTATTGTTTAGTGACATCACTGTGGAAGAAGCGGGAATTTAAACATCTTCTTGATTGAGGGACTAGCAAGAAAGCTGTATGTTTCAATAAATACCTTAATATTCTTAATTGTAGAAGTAGAAATAAAAGCATTTAGTTATCTCGTATGTATGTAATATAACTGTTGAGGGCATGCTTGTGCGTGTAGTTATGTGCGTACTCTCTCTTCCTCACTTTAGTTTTTCTTTATGTTCCCCTTCTTTCTCTCTAAGAGTTTTGTTCTGCTATTTTGTTATGAATTCCTGGACCCATATCTCATTTTGCTGAATTTGGTTTTCATTTTCTTGGCCCTTGTGCTTATAAACTTCTGTAGCAAGTACTTGCTGTTAAGAAAATAATTTTTTCCATATATTCTCTCTCTTGCTCACTGTCTTTTTTTTTTTTCGGTGAGGAAGATTGGCCCTGAGCTAACATCTGTTGCCAGTCTTCCTCTATTTTGTATGTGGGACGCCGCCACAGCATGGCTTGATGAGCGGTGTGTAGGTCCACACCCCGGGATCCAAACCACTGAACCCCAGGATGCCAAAGTGAAGCACGTGAACTTAACCACTACACCACTGGGCTGGACCCCCGTATATTCTCTTAAATGTTCATGTTCTTAGATCAGCAACGTTCTGGGTACCTGGACATTATGTAGACCTCTCTTCCCTTAAAATTTTTTTTCTTTCTGAACTGTTACTATAGGCTTATCTCGAGGGTCAGTATAAAAATAATCCCATAAAACATTTCATTGTGACTCCTGAAATATATGTTGTTTTATATGTATTAAATACATCTATTACAGAATGCCTTCTTTGTAAGGACCCCAGGGAGAAAGAGATGCAACCAAGAATAATTATATTTTTTCCTAAGCTTTTAGTCTGCTTTTATTAACTAGATGCTATAATTTGTGCTGTTCACTTGGTTTCTGTTTCCCTGTTGACTTTTGGAAGTTTAGGGCCAAGCTTTGTAGGGCTTATTGTACCTTTTTTAGGCCTCATTCTTGGCTTCATTTTGTTATCCCTGTGCTTGTTTCATTTTCATGTTTTTATTTCTGGTTTAATTTACACTAACCTATGTTTTATTTGTTTGATAGCCTTCTGAAGTCTGTTTCAGGTCAGGGTCGGATAAAAATAAACTAGATGTTCAGTTCTGAAGAAGTTATTTGAATTTTGGGTTGTCTTGATTGTAGTGACTTTCCTTTCCTTCTGGGGAAGTTAACCCTCTTGAATTTGTTAATGAAGTCTTCAGAGTATAATGAATTACTAGTCTGTTTGTAGCTTTTGCTTTTTAGGAATGCTTTGTGTTGTAGCTCCTACTTGAATTTATTAAGTATACACAGATGATGTTGCCAAAGGTGGCAGTCAACTTGATTTGTCCTTATTTTCCTATTC